AGACTTTTTGATAATTTGTCAGGCTTTCTAGGTTCGTATTCAGAATCGTTAATGAGTCTCGGAGATACAAACATTAACACTATTGCTGACAACAGGCACGCCAGAGAATCTCCCCTGTAAAGGGGGAGGCACTCACTTGATCAAATGACGTCTTAGCGAACGCCGACGTTTCACCGAATGACACTAGTGAACAGTCGACTGCCGCGAAGCTGCGTTTACGGGTGGGTCAAGTGGGTTAATATTTTTGTAATGAGCCGCCGCAGACTGCCACCATGAAGAAGCGTAAGCGCAGCGCGGGGGGTGGGTTAAAGGCCGGTTCACACATACAGCGGAGCGCTAAGTTAGCGCTACGTGAGCGCTCCAAGGAGCGCTCATGTGGCGCTTCCTGTCGCGTGATGTAGCGCTCTGTTAGCGCTTCAGAAGCGCTTTGTTAGCGCTCTGTTAGCGCTACAGAAGCGCTCTGTTAGCGCTCTCACGCCCCTTGTGCCGTGCTTGCTGCTGCGGAATAGCGCGTGCACGGCGATTCCTTGGTTGTTCTATTTCCATTGGCATTGAAAGAAGTGGAAGTAAAAGCCGCTCTCTAAGCAGAGGGTCGGGCCGGCGACCCAGAGTCATGGACTCTGAGTGACTAATTGATTGGGTGCGACCTCATAGCTTTCAATTCAATATGTGTGATGCTGGTTTCAAGGACACGCAGGTAAAAATAATCGCCTTCGAAAGAGCTCTGTGTCTCGGTTCCTCATCCTAGGAACAAGGTTCGCCGGGTACCTGTCGGTATCTCGGTGGCGAAAGATTTCGCGCACCCAAAAGGCTCTTCTGAGCGTTGAGCCGTCCACACAGATATGCACTAATCGCGTATGTAAGAGCATTTTTTGCATTTCTATTTCAGCATCCCACGTGTCCTCCATGGTGCTGCTGATGCACACCCAACCACAGGAACCAAAACCGCAGTGCACCTGCTAATCCGCAGCACCGCGGTACAAACGCTAATGACGCGCTAACACGGCGCTACTGAAGCGCTAACAAGGCGCTACTGGAGCGCTAACAAGGCGCTACAGGAACGCTAACAAGGCGCTACTAAAGCGCTTACCACGCGCTATATTAGAACAAAGTCACGCGCTGGAAGCGCCACATGAGCGCTCCTTGGAGCGCTCACGTAGCGCTAAGTTAGCGCTCCGCTGTATGTGTGAACAGGCCTTAACACGCACCCCCGATATTCGCTAAAACGTCGCTGTTCGCTAAAACGTCATTCGTTCATGTGATACGGTCCCCCCCATTCGTTAGCAAAAACGCGAGCTTCACTGGAACTTTGTCGTTGTTTTTTACAGGAATATAAACGATGAAACGTTTTTGCTTTTTAAAAGTTTACTCGCTTTCTGGAGGAAATAATTTGGGGTCAGGTGTATCACGAGGAAATCCAAAGTCTGCATTTAGTACTTTTCGTAACAAGTTTGCTGGAACACTGCCAAAGCAATCAAAACCTGAAGAAAAAAAAGATGAGAAAACACTAGGTTAATGCAAACTTAGTAAAGCAAATGAAAAAAAAAAACAAGTATCATGCTTTTTTTTTCGCGCAATCCCAAACCAAACGAAACTAGTACAACTACTTTCAATCTATCCGAGTCAAAATCAGTCCGACCGTCGTACGGTGGCAGTAGCACAAGACTACCAAACCGCAACCTACCTTTCAATTTAAGACGCTTTCCATTTTTTTTTTTTTGGGGGGGGGGGGGGGGGGAAAGGGGGGGGGGGGGGGGAAGCCGCGAGCCGCACTCATGCGAAGAGCCGCAGCTTGGCGAGGGACAAAACGATCTACTAAAACTCTCTAGTGACTAGAAGAAAAATGAAAGACGTTTACAATTGTTCGTAATGCCGAATTAGAGCGCAGCTCCTGAGAAGGAGGAGGGGAGAATATGGAGGGGAGGGTCACGTTGACGTCACACGTGATGTCACGAGGGTAAAATTTTCCCGCTAAATTTGGCAGGAAATTTTTTCGCTAAACTTAGCGGGAAAATGTTCCCGCTAAATTTAGCGGAAAATTTCCCGCCAAAATTGACGGGAAAATTTTACCCTCGTGACGTCGTCTAAAGTCAGACATGACGTCACGTGTGACGTCACGAGTGTAAAATTTTCCCGATCAATTTAGCGAAAAAAATTTCCGCCAATTTTGTGGGAAGATTTTGCCCTCATGACGTCATTATGGGAAATGTCCCATAATGCAACGCGCGGTTACGCTGACGGCGACGGCGTCGCCGCTCAAGCTGCGCTCTTAAAAACAAACTTTTTCTTTAGAAGCTTTCTAAATGGCTGCAGTTATACAGATTACAATTAAACACAAGCAAAACAAAGTATGTGCCTTTTAAACCAGCAACAAAATGTTTTACCGACACGTTCAATATTATATTTCAAAGTGATATTAGAATAAATAACGGAGCACAATTTTGGGGGGCAATGATTTGGAGCAAAACTGAATTATCCCGAGATGTGGGCTGGATCTATAAAGTAGTGAGCCTGATTCCTACGTTGCTCTTTGAAACGCTGTATTAGTGTCTATTTTTCTAAAAAAAAAAAAAATGTGTTACGGAATTCTTATTTGGGGTTTACTAATTAGTAACTCTACAAGAAATATTCTACAAATGTTTGAAAATTTGAAGAAGTATAAGAAAACTACCTAAGTACTCTGCCAATTTTCATTAAATATAACATTTTTAAAATCAAATTAAGTATATTATACCAAATTATTGCAATTAATTCATAAAAGTACAATGTTACTGCCGGCAAAACAGGAAGATCGACGTATACATTCTGTCATGTTGCATAAAGGACACCTTATACCTGGAATATATAATGACGGAAAGCAGAGTTGTCTATATTAAATAATTAATTTAATTAAGAGCGCACCTGATATAAACTATACACAATCGTTTACTATATTTAGGAAAGAACGCAGAGCACTACTGGTAGACAGCAATATCAAATGTAACTAAAACGTAAACCATAGTGTATCGTAAATAAAAAAAAAAAAAAATTTGTGATGCAGTTAGGGCTTTTCTGTTAAGTTTACGTTCATTGTGTGTACTTTGTATCATCTGTTTTCTTGTTATTTATATATTTCTTGCGTAATTGTGGTCAAAGAAAACTACCAGATAGAATAAAGATATATGGAAATAAAAATAAGACCACCTTTTTAAAATTATCTGGCCTTAATAGTAATTGCCATCAATACTGCAATTGTAGTATGACCTCTACAACCAATTAGAAAGGTAATTAACGGATTTTAGATAATTACCTAGCTTACCATGACAATTACCTCATCTACTGTCTGCTGAGCCTGATAAGTAAATGGTGAAGGTGCCACTCGTCTTACCCTCACCCCCTTTTAAAGAATTTGTTAGAATTAAAATCAAACTCTGTGCGCTTAGCCAACTCTTTTTTTTTCTTTTTTTTTACAGCAGTTTGATATTAATTTTTGTTTCTGGAGGTCGGATCTGAATAACTGAATGTGTAATATAAAATTCTATGATTGACAGTTACTAATTTCTAATAACCAGCGAAATAATTTTAAGCATATGTAACCCGTGCTTGCACCTCACTGATGCAAGGTTCTTCAAAAAATGGAAAAGGTTTTTATATATATATATATATATATTTTTTTTTTATGGGGGAAAAGGTAAGCTTATGTTTGTGCCTAAGACACAAAACTTCAAGTGTGGGAATTCAATCTAAATACATTATCTATACCTAAAAACTTAAAGAATAAAAAGATTCTAAGAAAACAAAAAGTCTCAAATCTTCGTTGGACCTTCGGGATCGTAAATGTCAAAATCATTTCGAAATATGATACAGTAGGTACCCATGAAAGCACTTTTAAAGCAGCCGTCGATGATCCTTGTCCCCGGTGTGATGTCGGAGCGCGACGTCATCAAAACGCTTTCCCAAGCTTGAACGTTCGACCTTGCGGCTCGTCCTTCGTAGGCAGTTAGTCGTCGCATGTTTTTATAAAGCTCGTTTGCGTGAAGCTTATGGCATGCGTGCGGCGAGGTGCACGACGCTCGCAACACCCGGAGCACCGATCAAAACTATGCATGCATGTACCGCACACCTGCTGTAAAGCCGCAAGTCCGTTTTTAAACGTCACTGCAGACTTCTTTCTTTTTTTTCTTTTTTTTTTACTGCATTTTGCCTTATTTCTGGGACAAATGTTCGCCGTGACAAGATTCGGGGGACGAAATTTCCTTAAAATTCAACTTCGATTATTTCAAAACATCCTTTTAAGCTTTTATTTTTTTTTACAGAATAGGTTTGTTGTTTTTTTTTCTGTTTTTTTTTTTTTATTATTACATTAGACAGATTTGTCTGTTTATTTTCAATAAAAACCATACACAAACTTGTTTTCCCCCGAACCACCACGCCGAAGTGTGTTTCGATTTTACTCCAAACCGAAGCTAAGCGACTGGAATAAACTTTTTTCCGCACATTCTAGGAACCTCCTTGAGGATTTGCGAAGTCAAAAGTCGCCATTCTAAACTTGCCCTTGTTCTGCAACTGCCTGTATATAGTTCTATATATTTTTTTTCTTCAACATGAGATCTATGCTTTCAAGACCGCCACCATAAAACCGCAGCAGCCTTCGTAAAAACACCAGGCATCTTAATCTACACGGCGGGACCAAGTGGGACCGGGACATTGCCGCCCGCTGCGACTGGCCAGCCCCGCACTGCTGACCAATCGGGGCAGGCGGCGATATCCCAGTTCCTTGGTCCCGCTTAATCTCGCCGTGCAGACTAGAGCCCCAGGATACTCAATTTCAAACAAAGGTGATCGCTGCACCGAGGTGCTGTGCACCGACAGGAAGCTTATGGAGTGACCCAGATGTACGGTGGACAGACTGCAGCACTGACAATCGCGCGACACGCCAGAATCGGCGTTGTATAGAGCAGGAATAACCTTTTGAAACTGAACGACGTTTCCTTGGTTGCTCTATCTTCTTTTCCCCGCAGTACAATGTGCTCATGTTACTCTTCATCATCCTCGAGCTGACGGTCATGGGCCTCGTGTGGAAGCACGCCAACGGAGAACAGGTGATACCAAAACACTCCACAATCTGAAAACACAACCCGTAACCCTTATTGACCCAAACCTTTCCAGCTAGAAAACAACTTGTCAGAGGCCTTCGTAAAGCTGATAGTCAAGTCTAAGAGCGGCCTGGCGGAAGTGGAGCGCTTTGTGGACAACATTCAATACCGTGTAAGGATCATCTGTAGGTGCCAAATGTGAAAAATCGCCCAAACCGTAACGCTTTGCTTTTATGCAGCTTCAGTGTTGCGGTGGCCTGGGGCCCAAGGACTACGAAGCACTTGAAATGCCCCCCACCACAAGCTGCAAGTATTATGACTCCAATGAGGAACAGGCAGCTGCCTACCAGCAAGTAAGTCATTTTTAAGTGGTGGCTGAACGACATCTATGACGGCATAACAAAATGCTGGATAGGTTATGAAGTGCTACTTGGCTGTAAATAGGCCTCAAACTAAATCACAAACAGAGAAGAAAAAAAAGGGACAGTGTTAAGGTGAAGATGTTAGATTTCTGGCCATTTGCTAACACTAAAATATTAAAGTGGGCAGTTGGATAAGTATTATAAAAATATATAAACATGTGCTAGCGTGAACGAGCATTATGAAAATAAATAAGTGCTAGTCCCGCCTGTGTTCATGTCCTTGTCCGTCCATTGTGCTATTTCATTTTTCAGTTCACTCGCACACTCACCATCACATCAGTGACGTTCTTATTGTCAGTTATGTTTCCCACACTAGATTTTATACGCAACCAATAATGCTTTTAATGGAACACTGCAGTTTTGCAACATCACAGAGGTGCAACCTAAGCAGTTTCCCAGTGCTTCCAAGGGGCCTTAGCTGCTGTTAGGCTCACATCAGTGAACCATAAGAAATGCACATTCTGTACAGGGCTGTGGCAGAGCCATCAGGAACTTTCTAATGAGCAAGAGTCTGGCCATTGGACTTGTATGCCTGATTGTACTTCTAATTGAGGTAAGTGCGCAATTCCTCTTCTACCTTCCTGCAAAAGGATTAAGATCTGATCAAACTGTGTGTGCACCTTCCAGGTTTTCAGTGTCGCAAGCGCCATCTACCTCTTGGTCGAAAAGAAAAAAAAGAACCGTCCAAAGGTGACTCCAGTGTGACTAATGGCCAATTCGTCTGGACCTGCATCACACCGGTGCAGTGCAGTTCGTGGTACGGGAAAGGCTAGAGGGGAGCTTCCTTCTCTCTCAGCCAGCCTTCTGTGTACTAAAGTGGAAAGAGTTTGCTGCACTGCGCGGATGCGGTGTGCCCCAGACGAATAGGGCATAAAGAAGACCCGATTGGAAGCATGCATGACAAGATGCAACATGAGAGGTCAGAGGAGCACACCACGACCAGCAGAATGCCTACTGTTGCATCTCCCTCATCTGCCAAAACGTAGACGACCTCGATGCACAGGCAATAACGAGATGTGCTTTTCACCCGAGGTCGTGCTCTAAGGATGCCGAACGAAATCTGCTAGTCTTGGCAGCTACGACTATTTCTCATCCATCCTGTCTTTCAGCAACAAAGATACAAACTGTACACTCAATGTACACGTGCAGGTGTTCCATTCAAACATGCGTGCCCATACAATGGTCCCTTTAACCCAACTCGTCTGTATAAGGATGCACGTTGGTGTACCACAAAGTATCCGCAGCAAACCGTAGTCTTCCATTGCCTTTCTGCCTCACCACGTGGAACAAGCCGGCCTTCAGCAATCAATGCATCCGTTGGTCCCTGCACACAAACAGACAGAACAGCAGATTTTATGAAGAGTACCACTTCCCAGCTAGATAATCTATACAGCATCAGTAATTTCAGAGCGATCAGAACTGTTCAGAGTTCTGCTCTGTTAACAATGAAAGTAACCTCTATTACTTTCTATTTCCACAAAAAGTGGTAAAATCTGAAGAGAAAAAAATTTAGAAAACAACAATACACTTTTTTTATATATTAAAAAATATATATATATTGTTTCTGGTATTTTTTTTGACAAAGCTCAGCCTCAGAAGGAAGGTTGTTATCAGACGCAAGGTAACGTAGCATAGCAGAAACCGGTTTGTGCCCAGTCGGCTTCGCTTGCCTCCATGCATCCCCAGACCCGTTAAAACCCTGCTGTACGACCCTCTCGGCAAAAGTCACGCTAGGCTCGTGCACAACTTTTTGGCAAAGGTCCATATAATGTGCGCCCGAGGAAAAACCGGCCGCCATCTTTTCTTGAGGTCGACCGGCACATAGAATGCAGGCAAAGGGAGGCAAAGCACGCCGTGGGCACGCCACAGTCTTGCACCGCTTCCGAGACACTTGCTCAGACCTTTTACTGGTTCATCACGGGCCGAGAAGGTTAGGGAGTGACCGATGTGCACCCAAGTGATGGATTCACGTCAGGACTCTGAACAGTGGAGGAGACGAAGCGAAAGGTCAAGTGACGAGTTTCCTCACCGCTTTCCAAACGGTCGGCGAGACTTGAGCAAGCAGCCGGTTGATGCACAAGGTTTGCAGAATTCGCAGACTTGAGCACTTTACAGTTCGTAGTGACAGATCTAGAGAAGGAGATGAGAACAAGTCTGGTACATGTTGATATGCGCACACTAATACATACCTCAACAGGCTTGACAGGAGCACCGTTGAACTGCAGCCAGAAAAGGCACACACAACCGTCTCTTTTAATGAACGAGCTGCTGACAACCCTGGAGATTCCTTTGCGATTTTATTTGACCGTGCTCGATAATGGGAGCAGAACGACGATCGACACGAAATGTGGTAACGGGATTCGTGACTTTTAGGAAAGCGTGCTCAAGACCCATTCGTTCTAAGAAACCAAGCGCAGTGTTGGCTGAACACGCAAAATGCGGTCATTACCGGCCTAAATTGTTCTGCTGTGATGAATATGACAATTGCATATAAATAAGCCCTCAGCACATGTTTTGGAATGTGTTTATATTTTCTTCCCTCCGTGTGAGCATACCACATCCTTACTAATTTGACCTTATATTTATACACCAGAGGAAGACAAAGGATGCTTCAGCAAAGCAATGAACTATATGTGTTACACTTTGAGGATGTTATCAAAACATAGATCTCTCTTCAAGAGATACCGAAGACAATTCTAATTTTAGTTTCTCCAGAAACTGTTTTCTTTTCTAGAGACACAATCTGCCCAATTGTTCCCAGAATGTTGACAAATACATTTTTCTGTAAAAGTGCTTGTGGCACCACCAGTACAATTGCTCAGTCGATTTGTAGGATCATCTTGAATCGGTCAGTACTGTCTAGGACAATTCTGGTATCTGTTGCAATCTGAAAGCACTTCACTGCCCTTTCAAGAAATGCAGACTCATTCAACACATTTCCCCCTTCGTCAAGTTAGCAACTTGTCCACTTCTCAAGCATCAAAAAAAACACTAAACCTTCCAAGTCAGATAATCTAGGATACCTCGGATAAATCACATAGAATAGATTTAATGTTGGCACATCAAATATGAACACTGCATGAGCATAGCACTTTACCCAGGACCAACCTGATCCCCAAAAAATGCAAATGAAGGTTAAACACGAAAGTTAATGAGAAATCTTCAAGAAGACTTCACATTCCTTTGCAAACAATAAAAGATTTTTAAGGTGTCTTATTTGGAATATGTCCTCTTGAGGCTCAATAAGCAGTCATCTATGCCTAACTTATGCTCACTACAGCTATTCTGTAATGGGAATGAAAACAGTTTCTTTAAACATAATTTCACTTTTTCTTGGGTATGGAACAATACAAGCATATACGAGTGTGTAGCACTGCAGTAACTAGCTTAAATCTCCACAGGAGCTTGCACATTGTAAATGCCATACCAAGTTTGTCATATACCTCTACACAGATTTTGTGCCATGTCCACACTGTTATGAAATAAAACATATGTAATGTTTACAAGACGTGAAAATTTGAGGGCGTGCAAGTCTCTCAAATAAAGAATGTTACACCACATACATCCACCCATAATGCCATAATAGCCCCGAGACAGAAGACGCATAAAGCCCATTTGAAAGGAGCAACAAAAGAACACCTTACGTTAAAATTAAATACAAGCCCGACACAATTCTCACAATCTGCTCACAACGCCAAACTCATTCTCCAATTCAGGACCGGACTGGGCAGGGTTTAGGTAAGTCTGGGATCAGGTTGGACAGGATACCGGCTACTTCATCCTCATGCACTGCCCTGTGCTAGACCTTCAAAAGGAACCAACTCATTCCTTAAAACACAGCGCAGAACTCCTCCACCGGGTTACAAATATCACACCAATGAGTATCGTGGAAGTACAGGACAGACCATGGTTCAAAAACAGGACTAGAGACCTATCTCGCTGCTTTCAGATGCTCACCGTACCTGCGTCTCAACTTGTAAAAAGAAAATGCACACTCCGATGAGAATGTCTAGAACAAAACGCACACAATATGCAACAGGTGTGGGCCTCGTGAATACTGTGGCACATAGCAGAAAAACATTCAAAGTCATCAACGACAGACAAGAACGGCAGGAGGTCTCGACTGCGCGTGCACGCTTGACGGTTACGTGACGTTCGCGAGTCGTCAAAGCTGGAAAGCTTGCGCTAAAGATGGGAAAACTCAAGGACCTTCCCGCCGTTCTCACGCCGTTGGCGACCATAACCGGGTTTAACATACAGCCTGGCCTTGTACAAGGCCTATTTAGGAGTACTTACAATATTAATAGACTATAAATAGGAACTGGACCTCCAGGGTCACTTTATAGGGAGCGACAGAAGAGAGGGTCTGACCCTTGTGTAGCTTCGGCTCTCCTTTGTCCCCTGCAAACGTCGTTCTGGAAATTCAATGTCTCGTTGCTTCGAACACAGAAATGCTCGGGTAGTCGGTTTCAAGACACCAGGGTTCTAAGGCTAGGGCGCGTCTCCAATTGGCACCAGTCGACACCTTGCACGGTGACTCGACGACGCGCGAGTTTCAGATGTGGACATGCAGCCAAACTACGAAATTTCGTAACAATATTACACTAAGAAAAAAAGAAAAAGGGGGAGGCAAGGTTGTGCCAAAATTATGCTTCAGCAGAGAACTGAGGGTCGATTTGGATGACCCAGGGATGTTCCGACACGCAACCGAAAACTCGGTTACCGCAATAGACCTCCACCAAATCGCGAGGGCAACTCGACCAGAATTCGAACTTGCCAAGAGGGGATTGGGGATCCGTAGGCCGGTGCTCCGCCACGGAGAGAAAGATTATGCTGCAGGTGAGGCAACACCTCCGAGACAACAAAGCCATAGTACCGAATTTTTAATGTCTCCTAAAGAAGGCCGGCGCAAAGCACTGATGCCACACAACTGCTGTGCTGCCATTCTGCTAGGACTTGTGTTCTCGCTGACTGTGCTTGTATTCAAGAGGAACGCCAAGACAGCACTCGTGCCCAATCCGTGCCTCACATTGACCTTTTTTAGATAGATATGTTAATTTCTGTGCCTAACAGCCGAGGCCTGGGTAGCGGCGCACCGTCTTTTAAAAACACAAAAACAAGTAAAAGCAGATGATAGAGGACAATAAAAGCGAGCAAAAATATCATCGTCCGTGGTATTGTACGTCTGTTGGAGGATCATCATTGGGCAGGTGGCCCGCACACGGAAATAAAATGTCTCCCACCGCTTGGGGGTCCGTCCATACGGCGCCCAAAAACCTCAGTGCTATCAACGACTACACAGTCAACAAAAGTGCAGTCAACTTGGTGCAAAAAATGCGCGTCTCTTTCGATTCTTCTATTTTGGAAGGACAACTAATTGAGGTCCTTTAAAAGAGCATCCTAGCCGTAAATGTGACGACCACCAATACATCTATCATACAAGATTTTCATAAACTTGCGTTGGACATTCTCAATTAAATGATCACGCAATGCCCAAAATTCGGCACTACGGCCTTGTTGCCTACGAGGTGATGGACGGGGAAGACAAAAACCGTATTGTGACTTTACAAGCACAGAAACATCAGATAGTATGAATTTCTCGTTGCAGTCCCCCCCCCCTCCCCCTCAAAAAAAAAAAAAATTAAAAAAAAAAAAAAAAAAAAAAGGTTGAAACTCTGTAACCTTGCAGTCATCGCCGAGATTAAGCTCCAAAGAAAGTTTGAACAAAGCAACTCAACGACACCTCGCTAGCCGACCAATGCGGTGACAAAATAAAGTGTGGCCACCGTGTCAGCGGCAGTTCAGCGCACTTCGCGTCACCGATTCAAACCTCCACAGACACTACGTGTTCCACCACCGACTACACGAGGGGCTGAGAGTGACTCTGCAGGTGCTGGTTCAAGCCGAACTCATCTGAGAACGACTGGTTGCACACCGGGCACACGTGCGGCTGTGGCTTGGTGTGACTCTGCATGTGGTGGTGCAGGTTGCCCTTCTGCGTGAAGCTGCGGCTGCAGAGGGTGCAGTGAAACGGCCTCTCCCCCGTGTGGGTCCTCTCGTGGGCCACCACGTTGGTGCGATAGTCCGACCTGTAGGTGCAGTAGCGGCACTGGAAGCGTCCCTTCGGGTCGAGGTGCAGCCTCGGCCGCCGCACCAGCGGGATGTGCCAGCGCGCTCTGCCCAACTCTGCAAGTAGACGGCACGTCCGCATTACGACCCCGACGCGTCGGGAGTAGAGGCCAAGCGTTGCCCTTCTACGACGTCCTCCTATGACGTCTAGAAAGCATCCCCAACTGAAGTGCCCACAGGGGTGGTCCAGCCAGTTTTGAGTTTAGAGATAGTTTTGGGTTTGGAGCAATTTGCGTACTTAAGTTTGGAACAATTCTGTGCAATTCCCCATAAGTGATACCGGCATGCATTCATGTAATTGCTACAGTGCGATGCCCATTAAAAACCCAAAGTTAGAAGTTATACTGTACTAGCCAAATTGCACTTCGACGGCTGTGAAGCTGCGCCATAAACTTAGACAAATTCATGTTTTTGTTTTCATTAGTGCAGTGATGTGATTGGCCTAAGCCGTTTTGGAGCACCTTTTGGAGCAACCAAAACGGTGTTTTGGAGCAGCAAGAGTGGTTTTTGGAGCAGGCAAAACAGTTTTTTGGAGCAGCAAAAGTTGCTTTTGGAGCAACCAAAACAGCGTTTCGGAGCAGCAAAAGTGGCTTTTGGAGCAGATATTCTTAGAAAAATAAACATATTCGTTTTAAGTGCTGAACGAACGAAGGCCACTTCGCTCGCCGCAATAAATAAATTATGGTAAAGTTCGACCACCTGGGAGTCTTTCAACGTGTAACTAAAATGACAATGACATGACACATTATGCAATGCCTCAGTTAAGTTATACATATATATGTACCGTTATAGATAAATAAGAACCAAACTGCACATATTAAAATTTAATTGAAAATGGCCAGCGTATTAGTAAATATCACAGCATTAGGTTGACTGCATAGTTAATATAATATAATAAATGGAAGCTGTCTCCGACTGATGAAACATGTAACTACCGCAGTGCAATGCGAAATTGTATACAAGACAAAGACTAGCGGGTGCTTTACTTTTTGCTTTTCGAAACTTTCTACAAGGCTGCTGCAAACCTCGCTTTGCCTTTGGCTAGTAATGAATTCCCACTTTCAATGTCTCCAAAGAGACATTGAGACATCCCACAACTGAACAGTGCGGTGGTCGTTGCCGAGCAATTCCGAAAAACCGCTTGCCAGCGTTTTACTGGTTCCCGACGTGCCAGATTTTCGTCAGAAGTAAGCAGACTTAAAACAATAGGTTGCAAGTGTCCCAGCTGGTGCCTCTGTCGTGCAGTCATGTCCGCATGCAAATGAGGGCAACTTTGGCAGGCTTTCATTTGCACGTGCTTGTTCGCACGAGCGGAGATGGCTGGTCGATCGAAACAGACACCATGCCACTCCGCTCTGTCGCCAACTGGTTCCCAAAATTGTATGCAAAATACGACAAAGAACAGTCCAGCGGCACGTGCTTGCCAGGCCGGCAGGCGAGGTACAAGCTAAACACATAGAAAAAAGGACCTGAGCGAGTTAGGTCAAAACAAGACATCGCGAGTCAGGGTCAAAAAGTACTTGGAGCGCTTTGTACAACAACTGAAGCACTGAAGCGTCAACACATGGCCGCGTCTATCGTTAAATATTTTTTTTTTTTTTTTTTAAAAGACGCGAGACGAGACACATGAACGACGAGAGCGTGAAACGAGAGGTGGCAGGAAACACTATGCAAAACCAGATGGACGATTGACACAGGGTACTTTTTGTTGGGCGACCGCTTGCGCTACCTAGCTCATGCATGCTCAATTACGGTACTCAGTTTAGTTTCGGTTTTGAAAGACGACCAAAATTGGTCTTTTGGCGCAGGCTTGGCGCAGATTACCGATATTTCGGCAAAATGTAGCAAGATGTAGCAGGGTTAGCCCCTGGGCGCAGTTTGGCGCAATTAGCGCAGCAATCACATCACTGTTAGTGCTAGTGAACAAAGGTTAGCAGAATTGATTTCAGCGGGCTAACCATCACCATTGAACGGTCGAACCAGTTTGTTTGCAGATAAATGCTTTGGCACAGTTTGGCGCGATTTTTCCCTTGGTCGCAGCAAGGCGCAGGCAAGCGGCAATTTATCAAAATGGCACCAATGGCACAACTGGACCACCCCTGTGCTTTGTGTCTATGCCACCCGTGCGTCATGCGTCCCCGAAGTGGAAACGACCCTGGCAGCGCGTGGTTCTGTGGACATCCTCGGTACATCTCAACGTTCCCTAGATGTCCCGTGGACGTGCTGCTTGAAAAAATGTGTCCCAGGAACTGCCGTGTAATGCTAGATGTCATCACAATCCAAGCAGCATTCTAACCCACGGCCGCTTAAGTTTCTGACGACCTGCAGTTGCGGAGCAAGCTGCAGCATAATGGTCACCTGCCGTATCCATGTGTGCTTCTGATGTGCTAGACAGTTGTAACATGTCTAGCAAGAAACTGAGAAAATAAACGACAAAAAGTGTGAAAATTACACCGGCCAAAGATGGGTTCCGGCAACACATTGGGAACCAAAGTTGAGCGCCTGCCGTCAATCATATTTGTGCCATTGTGTTCCACAAAGGATGTAGCTCTGCAGCGAGCACACGAGTGTAACACGAGAGCAATCGCAATGTGCATGACTTGCGAGAGATCAGTTTCCAAGAGCACGAGGACACCGTTGGCAAGTATTATCGTTGTTTATCTAATGCTGCGGTTTAAAGATCTGTGAGTGAAAGAGCACAAAGAAATGACGCCAAGTCTACTTCAATACAACACGTTGCACATAACTCTCAATGATGTCAGTCTGCAACAAGGCCATCAACAATGCCACAAAAAATGTGACAGCATCTCAAAGGTAAGCCCCTAATTTATTTCTCATTAGGGTATACACGTTTGCAAGTCCGGCTTCAGGGCGCTGCCATCTTGCTTGGCTGGGGTGTGCTTGGTCGAGTCATAATCCGATTACGAAGCCTTGCTAAGGCGTCGTAATCGGATTACGGCCGCGCCCAAGAGCGCACCCCACTGAGGAAGATGGCGGTGCCCTGAGACCGGACTTGCAAACGTGTATATGTGGGCTTTTTGAAGCATTGAGGGAAGGTCCACCAGACACGCAGAACAGTAAAAATGTTGACATTGTCGATAATAGCTCTGTGTAGTGAAAATTAAATTTCAAGTTACACGAACCTGAACATTGACAATACTATTAGTCAATCAATACAGATGCCCGTCACTATTTCTGACTGGCTACGATACGACCAGCATGTCTGTGCCCAGCCAGTGCCTGTCCAACGTTGCAAGGTGTTATTTATGATACAAGGCAAAGCGCTGCAAGCAGGAAAACCAGTGCATGAGCTACACAGTTTGCAGAGACACAAAAGTTAAAAATGTCCGCCGCATTTCGCGACACGACAGTGCAGAGACACACGGGCAAAGTGATGATGTACACCCAATGGAGACGGCAACAAAGCACTCCGTATTACTGAAGACATTGATGACACGAAAGAACCTTCAAATTCAAAAAAGAGCGGTCAATTCTAGAGAGAGAGAATAGGTCCTCTAAACAGGCTACATTTCGAATATTGACACTTCACTCCCCGATTTTCTTGTAGGTGCCACCGTGTTTGTGCTTGGTGCAGAGCGGGCGCAATTGGTAATGGTTACAATTAAGAAAATGTGACTTCCCGAGAGAGCTTAGGAAACGTCTATTTACTCTGTCGCCGACCGTTCTAATATTTACGGAAGATGGGAAAGCGCCTCCCACGAGTTCAGACAACTGCCAGCAACGATTCTACACACCAAGATTGCCGAAGTGGCGACACTCCAAAGTGAAACTCATCTAGCGGCTCCGAGGCGCAACTAGACCGATCATCGGGACGCCAACAGAGCGTTATCGGATCCCACGTCCGCCCACCCCACGCGCAAGGAGACAAACCAGGCGGCGATCGGCTGCGGCAGGAATCCCCTTCCCTCAGGGCACCGACTTGCCGCCGCGGTGGTGCTTGTGAAAGTGCACGCCGAGCAGGTTCTTGCGCGTGAACGTCCGGTGGCAGAGGGAGCACACGAAGGGCCTCTCGCCGGTGTGCCTCCTCAGGTGGGTGGTGAGGTGGCTGCGGTGGCTGAAGGAGTGCGAGCACAGCCTGCACGCAAACGGACGCTCGCCCGTATGGATGCGTTCGTGGACGAGCAGGTTCCCCTTGTAGCGCGTGGAGTAGTCACAGAAGCCACAGCGGTACGGGTGCCAGGCACGAACGTTCACCCCGTCTGCGTGCGCTGCGAGAAGGCAAGGCGTCCACTTGAAAACTGGGTCCGGCCCGCGCAGAGACAAAAATGAAGCTCGGCTTACGACGCAGGAGGGGAGACGCGTCTACCATATCACTTCTCTCAAATTCCTCGACTTTCCCCAAGCTTTCCTCTTAAAAGTCCCCAGCTTTCACCAAATAAAAATAAAATGCGGATGGGGTTGCAATGGCTATTTAAGCTGTTCCCACTTAATTCGGTAAACCAGGTGATGACTTATGCTGCCGATTGATGCCTTGAGCAACCGTTACTCAGCAAAAATGTCACGTGTCTTGCAGTTTTTTTTTTTTCTTTTTACTTATGCAATTCACTGCTCTCTGTAATGCTTCTATCCCCGAAGGCAAGGAAATAAATAAATAGATTCCACTGCACCCTCCCACTTTGTTGCGAGCAACAACGATACCCACAGTCAGTAATTTTCCCCAACTTAACCAATTTCCTGAGAATTCCAAGTTGGTAGACACCCGACCGGGGCGACATTTGGTGAAATTGTGCGAGAATACACTCACGAAAGCACCACAGGTGCTCACTAAAGACTGGTTCACACATTTGCACTTGAGTGGAATCGACTGCAATGCAACCGCTCCAGGGCTAGCCGACAAAGGCGCTAGTCTGTTCTCTCACCCTAAGCTGTCACAACGCACTCGGTCACCTCTAAAAGGCCACCGTGTGAACCCGACTTAAGGAAGCTGAAACCACACCAAACATGGCATACCGAATGCTCAGCTTAACCCCAAATTTAACAGTGTATTCTACCGGAAGACCTACGCATTACGAACGATAGAACCTGCGGAGCCTGCGATTCCATGGAGAAATCACGTTGTAGCCAAGCAGATGTCTTTTTTTTTTAACAATCCAAGAGAGCAGTATTTTTCACAATTACTCATAAATGTTATTCAAGTAAGCAGTACCCATCACAATTACTCGCAGGTGTTAGCCATAACCTATCCATGCCGCTCTTCCGCGTTTCCCGCATCGGGGCAGAACTTGGTAGAGTGAAACATGGACAGCGGAAGTTGGATACCCATAAACGCAGGTTACAATGCATGGAAAAACACTAGGTGTGAAACATGTATGGCACACAGCAAACCTTTGTGAGGTTGTAAGTTCAACAGTATCCATGCAGAACGCAAGTTCGTCTGCTCCTTGCACAGGGGTTGCGATGATGTCAGAACGCCAAACTCTTATTGGCCGATTGAAAAAAAGAAAAAGAAGTGGGCAGACGTCAAGGCATTACCATTGAGGTGTACTCACTATACATGCCTTGCATGTGACGTTATATGGCACCGTACCAGCCACCATTGCTCCGTACCACGCTCCTGTGCCTGTACCTTCTGCAGCATACATTTCGCAAAATCAAATTTGTTCTTCTTGGCAAGCCTTACGGAGAAGAACACATTCGATGGTGCCAAATGCATGCTGCAGAAGTTGCAGGCACTGGAACATGGTTCGGAGCAATGGCGGCTGACATGACGTCAATGCAAGCCATGTATCCTTTCAATCAAAGCCAATCATAACTCAACGTCGTTTTGACGTCAGCGCAACCCCTGCGCAAGAAGCAGACGACTAGCTCTCCGCATTGCCCTCACCAGCAGCATTGTTATTAAACTCAAATTTACGTAAAAAAAAAAAAAAAAGTTATGTTAAAACAAACATTTGAAGTCAGTATCTGTCAGGCATGGGTGGAAGGAAGGCTTTTGAGTTACAAGCGCGTACCAGAGTACGATAGAACACGATTGTACGCAACACTTTCAGCCATTCGCTCGTGGAAGAATCAAGAATTCCGGTGTTAGGCTACGGAAGATGCGAAAGTTTCTTCAAAGGTAGGAGTCATGGGAGGTTCGGGTCCCCTGCACAAAGAAAGGGACAAACATTCACGTAGCGCCAAAGTCACGAAGACTAGCATCTAACATTCAGCATTCGTTCACACGCACTCTACACTACCGAAATCACAAGCTAGAACAATTTTCTGTCGATGCGAAATCCGACAAACAAACAAGGTTCTCCACTTCGACGGGTAGCCTCACTTGTGCAGACATTGCGCTTTGCTGCTGTCCCAACTGAAACCCGAATCAAATGATAACACACAACATCCAAAAACATTGTAAAATTGCCTCCCGCTCGCCATTAGTCCACTAAGCCATTCAAATTCTGCCTGGAAAGACGACAAACTCTTCGACTTGCGTACGGACGCGCATACGGTGCATTCGGCTAGGTGAGGGCTGCCATCTTTGAAGTTCGAACAAGTCGTGTCGATAACGCTGGTGCCACCAGCGCCCCGCCGCCAGCGAAAAACAATTAGTACCTACGTGGTCGCTCGTTCAAAACAAAGCAGCTACGTTGCTACGTTGCATGCGCTACTCGGGTGTGAACGTTGTATCCATGTAAATGTAAACGAACAAAATGCAAAAGCTGCAGCTTAACCACACAGTCGGAATGCTAGAAACTGCTCCACTGCCAGGTGTGTCGAAACGAAACCACCTACTGTTTTTACAGGATTTTTATCTTATTATTATATGGAGCAGTGGTTACGCCAGTTGCTCTGCGTTTTTTAACTGCCCTAACTAGCGCAAAACCCGCAAGCCATGGAGCTATGCTAGAGCGCCTGTACTGTACACTGTCACTTGTCTTCACCCGTTTTTTTTTTTTTTTTTTTTTTTTTTTTTTTTTTGTATTGAAGGTGTATTGTTTATTTTATCCAACCGATAATGCGATGAATACGTTACCGAATTAGTAACGGGGACGCATAATCTGTGGAGGCGAGGGGTAAATAGAAAACCTGCAAAGCACTTGCAACACCATGCAACCTCAAAAGTTAAATGACTGAATACAAACGTGGACTGCAAGAAATTTTTATTGAACTGACAAGTTCACAAGATGATGGGGTAACAGCCCCTCAATGATATTACACGGCTTCGAGCCGATTTGTCTTAACTTTACCCTGGCAATTCCAAGGTGTGATGACTGGTGGTTCCAAGAACCAGGCGACTATAGCTACCAAGACACATTCTTGAGACTTCCCCTCCATGGGCATGGAGCAAGAATCGTCCTCTTTCCAGATCCTTCAGATCCTGCACACACACACACAAACAAACAGCACATTTAAGGCCAACTAACTAAGAGTCAATTTAACGCGAAGTGCTAGAGCAGGCTAGTATACGGTAGCAGACGACTTGCACCAACACAGATTGGCATGCCTTAAAGGGGTAGGGAAACAAAATTCCAGTGCTCATTTTCTAGCTTGAATGTGTTGCATGTTGCACCATAACCTCAAAAACACTAGTCTTCCGTTGAAAGGCACAAGCAAACTAATTTTAAAGCTAAATAAACAATTTTTCAATGTGCACCTGGTGGGTGCATGCGGAGCCTATTTGGGAGGTAATCTAGCAACATTGGGGAACTTGCTACGTAGTCGTAACGTAGCAGATTCCTTCAGAGCAGCGCCACTCTTTGGAATTTCAACATTTTCCTTCTTAGCTTTCCTCGTAGCTCAACTCACTAATCGCACATTGTACCAAACCGTCCAAGAAGATGGAAAGGAAGGACTTCCCTCTTTCTCGGACCCTTGTTCGTGCAACCGGACACAGCCGTTCTCCCCCTAGAAGATTAGCCCGTCGCTCAAAACTCGAACAAAAGTTGCTTTCCCCACCCCGTTCAGCCCTAAGCTGACATGGTTGTGGAAGCTACGTGCTCCTTGGGCCAGTCACCCGCTCATCACCCCACGGGTACTTCGAACAGCTCGGTTGTAATGTGCTGACGCTATTGACACCACCACAACGCTGACAACGCCACCAAGAGCAAAGCTCATAACCACGCCAGCCTTGATACGTCACGAATCCGGAGAGCACGATGCATCATGGGATGTGCCGAATATCCCATGACGCATCGCGCTCTCCGCTCGCTTCTCTTCAAGCGCTTGCTCGAGTGCACCATTTGGAACGTAAAATATAGCCAGTCGTTCAAAATACAAACGTGCGATTATCATTTACGGTTATTATCCGTCATGCTTGACTCATTTCCGAACTAAATTTGAATATTTCAATTTTTGTTTCCGTATCCCTTTAACCATTATTGTTTACCCTAGATCCACCATGTAGTCAAATGGTACTGCCAATGTCCTTCGTATGCTCAGAGTTCCAGGGTTCGATACTGTGTATGAATATATGCCACATACGAGGCATGTGAATCACTAGAACAGCACCCAAAGCTTTGCAGGAATAATGAAACTAATGATACCATGATCAATAAAATTCATTAATGGCAGCTACTTGGTAATGCCAGAACAGAATTTACCATGTCATTGGCAAAGAAAAGGACGCAATAAAACTGTCAAATACATGTCAGTAATCGAAGTTGTGGGTTCAGATTCTGCCGCTGGTGAATAGGGTTACCAACTCTTCGATGAAGGAAGTCAGGACGGGGGGGGGGGGGGGGGGGGGTGGTGGGGGAGGTGACAAGGGTAATATTTGATTACTGAGGATTAAGCTGGCTATTAGCAGCTGGCAGCAGGTGCTCTTTCTTTCAAATGTATGGGAGTTACGCATTTCATATGGAAGTTTAGCTTCACCTAAAACCGTGACTGAACAAGCTCCTCATGTAATTCCTCTCGTCCTTCCACACGTTTTTCACAATCGAGAATACCGTCTTCACTGGAGGGTTGCTCAAAGACACGGAAAAACTATTTCTACAAGCCTGGGGAGGTTAGGTATGTTGGATCTCTTGAAAATCTTTCTACCACTGTCGGTTCCCCCAGCAGGTTTCCTGATCTACAAACTAGGGCATTGTGGAAGGAAAAATGTCAAACTCATGTCGTTCCTGTGTGTCTTCATTTTAATTGTTTGCAACAGTACCAACTCGCTCGTTAACCACCAGTTCATTTTACATCCTCATTACTAGCGAGGCATGAGCTCTTGATGCCCGTGCGTGCCGTCATTCATCACATAAAACAACTGACTGAATGTCTGAATCAAATCCGGGACATATACATAGCTGGCCCGACAGGGACAAGTCGGGACTCGGGACGCTGGATGAGAACTCGGGACAGTCTCTCCAAAACCGGGACGGTTGGTAACCCTACCAGTGAATGTTCTCTAGCAGTTTTCCAGTTTTACTTTAGTTCATCTAGTTTATTCGTCCGGACGACCGTACAAAAATTGTACAGGTATTTGCCGATCGTCACCTTGATTCAGTTTGTAGGCTGCAGCACCGTTCGTCCCGGCATGCCCACTAAAGGCCGTCCGACAAGATCAAAACCTATATTCGCACTTGCCATTCTAGGTGCCAGGGGCGCCGCTCAAATTCGAGAGCTACGAATCTACAGCCTCACAAACATCGGGGGAACCCAAAAGGGAGTCTGGATTCGGCTCACTTCCCACAGCCATTTCAAAAGCAAAAACTGCACGTCGGCCCTGAAAATTCTTTTAGACACAACTCACGCGGTTCGGTCCATTTGGTACACTCAGGCGTTCTGACACTCCTCTCCCGAGGGGCCGGGGTTGCGAGCCGCCGCCGCCGCGGCCGCCTTCTGGCCCAGCCGGCTGACGCGCGACTCCACGGCCTGCACGAACTGCACATTGAGGCTGAGGTCCAGCAGGCTGTTGAGCCGGTATGAGTCCCTGCGCATGTTGCAGCTCAGCACCATGTGCCCGTTCTGCTCAAACTGGTAGCAGTCGTGCCCTGCACAAAAAGGATAGCCGCTCGGTGGGGAGGCCTCAAGGCCCATACACAGATTTGCACTTGAGTGCGGAACGTTTGGTTGCTGCGGGCAGATGCAAAACGTTGCAAAGTGCATTTGCACGAAGCTTATACACGCAGTTGCGTTATAATGCGGTCGGCCTCAGTCGAGAGCCAATGAGCACAGGGTGCTTTCGGCTCACCAATGGCAAGCGAAATCCACACAAACGTGACAGCGCCCGGCGACAGCATTGACGTGGCTGGTCCTGGGGCGAACCCGCAGGCTTCTGCAACTTCTGTTCAGCTCGAACTGCGGCAACTTGGAACAATCTTCTCTTGAGAGCCCACAACTCCCCAAGAAGCAAAAGCACCCTCCATTCTCGGAACAAGCAACCGGATGAGCGATGCCGGGATGCGCAGGCAAGCACGGGACACTCCATTTCTCAACTTCCGATTCGTCCGCCACAATGCCCCGTCGACGTCGCCGCATTCAAAAGTCGAGCCCCATCCAACTTTCTCGCCTGGCTCTGCGGCGAGTGGCGTTCCGCAAGCGACTGCCTCATCCCATAAGCAACCATGTCGTTCCGCAAGCAATTGCTTTCAGCTGCAAGGACGCCGTTCCGCACTCTAACGCAGTCAAACGCAAAAGTGTGTAAAGAGTCGTCACCCTTTCCGTCGAGGCTTTCGCGGATCTTGTGCTCCTCGTACTCGAGGTGCTGCTCCAGCCGCATCTCTGGCGGCGCCTGCTCGCTCAGCAGCTTGGCGTTCTGGTGCAGCCACTGTTCCCGCTGCTCCTGGTACTCCCGCAGCTGAGTCAGCGTCCTCTGCAGGGAGCTGAGACACACGTGCAAACGTGGCAGCCTCCGCATGAGGCAACATCATTTATAGAAAAATCTGTAGAACTGAACTCTCTATGTCATCGATTGCGGGGCCAGCACGGAGCACGTGTTAGACACGAGTGTGTGTTCCAACGGCTTGGACTTGTATTCTGACTGATGGAATGCAAATTCCAGCCATACGCACTGACGCAGCACTTGTGTCCAATATATGCCCCATGCTGACCCTCGGTAGGAGACATAAAACTCAGCGCTATGACTTTTTATCTAACGAGTAGCACGTGAATTCGAGCAAAGGCAAAACCCATCCAGGCGGCCTTGATTACGAGAAAGTCTCTGGCAAATGCAGATTTTCTCTAATGACCATCGGTTTTGCCTTTTACAGTTCAAATGCCTGGAGCTAGGCTGTAGTCATGCGCGAATATTTGGATTTTGAGTCCGAAGCGAAAAGCGGTTTTGGCAGAATGTTTTCAAATCGAATGTCGAATAGTTTCCTTAAAGGGCAACTCCGCTTCATTTTTGATATTTAGATAACTATGTAGCCCTCTTCGGTATCATATGGGAAGACCCCATGTCAAATATTACAATCTAATTCCGTTTATATATTTAATAAACTGGCCAGCAAACCTTCAAGCGAGCTAGGTCGCCGAAATCTGCCAACTCTAGCGTGCGGCGCGAGGCGCAATCACCAGCGCAGTCAATGCCACGGAGTTGGAGCAGCCGACATTGAGCCACTACGTCAGAGGCATGACTACGTCATTCTTACGTTTTGCTTGTTTTTACTTCTCAGAGCGAAATTGAATGATGACGTCATGAGTTTCTCCTCCTGGTGTTGGCTGACCGGGCGTTCACGTGATCACCGTAACACGGATGCGCGAGTTTGCGCTGCCCTGCGCGCTTATGGGTCTGTGTCTCAGCTCCCCTTCTCTTTCATCTTGTCCCCTTCCCCCTCTCCCCCGGGCCATCACCGTCCACGCCATGCGAAGCGACCTGCCCGTGTCCAATAAAAAAAATAAAAAAGACCTGCCCGCGTCGCGTGTCCTGTTTCTCGCTCCCTCCCGAACGTCACAAGACCACGTGGTTCGACGTGACGTGGCCATGACTCTGACGACCCGAGACCAATGTAGCCTGACGCAACCGAAGTTTCGGTTTCGGTATCAGCTGATGTTTAAATTAGGATTACACAAATAATATTCCACATTTCGTGAATCCGAAGAAGTAGAGTTGTTTAGTAGTGCTTTGTGAATTTGAATCACATGTAAGCCTAAATTTTTCGGAATTGGGTGGAGTTGCCCTTTTTAAGCCTTCCACTACTGTTGCATCGTGCTTAAAGGGCAACTCCGCTTAATTTCAAAAATTTTGAGATAGTGGCCGATTTTGCTTTTTGAAGCACTCAAAAACAATCCCCAATCCTTTGTTTCGCGAGAAATAAAATATTTTTCGTGTAATTTTACTCTAGCCATGATCACAAACCGAAACCGAAACGGTGGCAAAGCCGGACAACATTGTATATTCGGCATCACTAAGCATGTACACCCACGTGATATACAAGGGGAAGAAGAAGCTCCCCTCTTATCAGGATCCTCCTTTGTGCCTCCTGGATTAGCACAAGCGCCGCTATTCTCCTCCCAGAAGATTATAGAAGATTAACCTGTCACTCAAAATTCTTACAAAAGCAGCTTCCCTCTCCTCCTTTTACTTGATGTTCAAAAGTATGCGATGTAACACAAGCCGCGCTCAACGAGGCGATCGGCTTATCAGTAGTATCAATAGTCGAGCGCCGGGCCGGCCGAGCGCGTCACTCACGTCTTTCACGGCGCTGGCGCCACCCTTGCTCTCCCCGGGAAAGGAAACAAAATAGAAAAAGAAAGAAAAAGAAGCTGTACATGTTTGATGATGTCGCGGACGTGCCGGGAGAAGGAATTTGGAGGAAGCGGAAATGCAGCCGGGCAGTGTTGTCTGGCCCGCACGTCTCAACCAAAACCAGTGGATTCGTGCTTGTCAAACTTTGACAGCGATTTTAATGAACTTCTAGGCGGAATTCCGTCGTAATATTTGCCATGGGGGTTTTGTAGATGATAACAAAGAGAACTGTATAGTTTTGCACTACTGGAAAAGAAGCGGAGTTGCCCTTTAAATGAAAACACAACTAAACTCGTCAAGGGTGTTCCTAGCTTCGACTTGCCCATTTATAAGCTAATTTTAATCCAACTTATATTTACAGACTGTGAACTCAAAAAGTCTGACGCCTTGGGATGGCAAATGGATTTGGCATAAAATATGCTTGCCCGTAACATACTGGGCAAGCGCCCACTCATAATTTAGAGATAATCACGAAAAAGTGGAGGATGGGCACTTGTCCGGTCATCAATTTTACATATAAATGTAGTACTGTGCATAATTTGTCAGATCTTAGAAATTTGAATATGGGCACTTAAATGTGGAATGGGCGGATGCACGGTATTCTACGGTATAGAGATGCCTAACTATTCAGTCATGTCTCATCAATATGGACGCCTCCGTTCCCCAGAAAAAAAATCTTTGTGAAAGTGTAAGTTGTCTGCAATAACGAATCAAGGTCAAAATACACGCATAAAGAAGCATAGCAAAGGGGCTTTAGGCTTTAGCTATGGACAACTTCAAGGATGAAAATTCCCCCTCCCCCTTCATAACCTTATCTACACCCCCTTTCACCATCACTTGGCAAAGAGCGAATGCATAAGGCCCCCCCTTGCCAATCAGAATGAAGGAGGCGAGGTATGTGACAGCTCTTACCAAAAAAATAAAGAACCGACTCATACCCAGACCCTCTTTTGTGCGTCTCGGACGTCGCTTTGTCCCCCTATAGTCTTCGCCGTTTACTAAGTTACGGTGAAACGGAGTATAGGAGTAATTAGCCCTGTGTGCCCAGGGCTTCTTCCTCATTCCCCAAACAGTGACGAGTTCTACACTGAGGTGACCTAGCTGCTTTAGGGTTCATTCTCCTTTGTCACCTATTTTGGGTCAGCACTTTGTGCTTAAGTTGGGCCAGTGCCACGACCGGGAAAAAAGAGTGCTTTTATCCCGGTTGTGGGTCATACATGATCTCAAGCAACAATACACTGGAAGCGGTAATAACCCATTTTACATGAAAGACGAAAAAAAAAAAAATTTAGCAGATTTACAAACCTTGCTATATGTAAAATTTTTTTCCACAATCTCACATAAAAAAGAAAGAGGGGTTGATGAATTTAGGTTGTCAGGGCATCTCTGCCTAACGTGTGCTCTTGCATAACAGCCTCGATTTCATTTTGAAATTTTTCCTGCTATGAAGATATCAACATTCACAAAGTTTCTGTTTTGTGTTTCTTAGAATACACCAGTGTGCGCATTCACCATCCCACTTTTAAGGTGTGCTTTTCTCCCAAAAATGCAATTGCGACGTTCATACTTTTCAAGGTGTCACGGCAAGTTACCCTGTTGAGTGTGCATATTAATGAGCATCAGTGCAGTGCAGAGAAGCAACACCTGCGGAGTTCGCTTCCGCATGTATCGCTCCTCTGCACTGCACCGGAGCTCGGTAAGAAGCGCGCTCAATATACCCTCATTGCTTATTATACAAAACTACTATTCAATATTTTGAATATTCTCACAACACTACTATATTGATTCAAATTACCAAGACCGATAGCACAGAATCTGTCCCGCACAAACCCCACTTTGTGCCGTTAGTGCAAGGTTTTTCAACCTTTTCCTATAATCTATTTTTATTTTCAAGTATTGTTATAACAATTCATTATTATTTTATTTTATTATGAAACTTTTATTTTTTATTTTTCTATTCTTCTATTTGAATGTTTAATTTTTATTTCATCTCATTTTATTAATTCTTCCATTTATTATTGTTACATGTATACATTTGTTCTAGCTATTTTTTTCACCCCACAACCTGCCACTCTCGCCGAAATGTTTGCAATCGAATAAAAATCATTTATCCCTGCAGACTGCCGCCGCAGCGACCCAGCGTTCAACTCCTGCAGGGGCTCAAACTTTATACATTAACTTTTAATGAAATCTCAATGGCTGTAACACTCCCTGCGTTGCACAGAAAATTTGGGAGAAAATCGTTCATTACGATTTTTTCTCATAAAACACATTTCGCATTAAAAAAAAAGAATGTGAAGTTCCTCCTCCTGCATGTATGTTGCTTCCAGTCCCAAAGAGCTTGCAACTTTTCCGAACAAGCGAGACACGCACCAGGCCAACACCTCCTACGTTACAAAGCCGGGTTGCTGAATTTTCGCCGTCGCCTGAATAAAACCAATGTTGGACACGGATTGAACACGACTGCCGAGTAAGTATTCAGCTGGGACTCCTGTTCTCGCCGACGGTACAAGAGTCTCGGCCGAATGCAGCTGCGGCGCTCGTGTCAAATCATTGCCCCGTGTTGGCCTTCCCTTCAGGCGACACCGAAAATTCGGCACTACATGTTTGCTGTCTCGGAGGCGTTGGCCAGACTAACAAGCACTATTATAGAGGAAAGCATTGAGGATGCCCGTCATAAAAGGGCACGTGGTTGGTCACGCTACACCCAAGGCAGCATAATTCAGACACCACAGATATGTCATTGGGCTACCATACACGCACAGTAAAGTTGCTCAAAACATTTCTTCTAAGCAATCGGGTTTCAGCACTAGCGTAGTTTCCCCTGACAGCATTTCATCTGCATGTGTGCAAATTAAGCTAATAGAAGGTCGAAGCACCACGGAACATAGCCAAGTATATGACTTCTGCAGTTTACAGTTAGAGCAGGGGCCGTTGAAACACAAACTCAACTTGTGTAAGCCTGTCTACGCCTACAGCGACACATCTATAGGAGCACCAGACCAACCTGTGTTGGGCTTCTAAAGCCGCCTCGAGCTTGCCGTGGCAGAGAACGGCGTGAAGCCTCTGACGAGCATTCAGGAAGTCTGGCTGAACCTTGAGCGTGTTCTCGAAGCAGACGACACTCTTGTTGTAGTCCGCCAGCACCTGCAAGAAACCGAAAATGGCCTATTTGACCCCATACTTTCAAGCCTGCTTCTGTGGCTCCACGTTTTGACCACGAAGTGCTTGTCAAAACGTGGACTTTATGCATCAGGCAAGCGAGCCTCAAGTAGCCAGCACCTGTAGAAATTTACAAAAGTAAGTGATATAATCAAACAGCACAGTGCTACCTGGAAACTGCCATGTTATGCATCCTCGTCTTGACAGCATAAACAAGTTGAAGGTGAGCATGATGGTAAAAGATGAGTCAGAGTGCTGAGCAAACTGACACATGTTTCACCTAAAAGCATAGTTCAGTCTGCACTCTTATTTTATTAAATTCATAAACTTAAAAAAAAAAAAAAAAAAAAAAAGAATCTCAGGCTAAGGAAGTTTGCCAAGACTGGCACATGTAAGCCTCCAAATTTCCTCAGTCACATATAGCATGCAAATTTCTTTCATAAGCAAACTATTGTTACGCTATGCTCACCATTTTACGCAAAAGCAAGTGCTCTAAAATGAGAACGGAGAAAACCTCCTGAACTATGGCATGACCTCCTGACAGACTTGGAGAAGTCTGAAAATATTCCACACCTACTTTTTTAATTCAGTCAGGGCTAGTGCTATACCGCTGCAATCGTACGGCTCTCCTGCCGCACCACAAAAACCCCTAGTCATAGCTGCAGGATTTGCCTGCGCAATGGCAATCGTGACATGCGCCAGGGAAACCATTTTTATTATTATTTAAGATAACTAAAGAAAACTTTTACAGTTTATAGTGCTTGATCTCATCTTTATAAATCTAATGTTAGATTTCATATAGCTTGTTTTCTATGTTCTAGATGCAATAATGCACATGCGAAACAACCATGTTTTTGCGGACACGTGGGACATGGCAAAACACTTAAAAGAGTCAAGTAAAATGAGCTAATTCGCTCCTTTTAGACCAGTGGGTACAATGAACAATAAAAATATTATGTGTGAGGCTCACATTATTTTAAAATAATTAAAAATTGCAAAAACGCCATTTTAAAGGGGCTAACAATAGTTTCTCAAATTTTTTTATAAGTATAAAAAATATACATTCTAACCAAACCTACATACCGTAAAATACCGCAGAAGCACCCACTTCGTTCAAACGCTCACTATTATTATTTTCCAAGCTTGGGAATTCTGTAAATTATATGTTAAGCATCTGATTCGACCGGACAAGTGCCCATGGCTCCCCCAGTGTTTTACGACCCGTTGCATTCTAGATATTCGGAAGTACCTATATGCATGCCAAATTTGGTTGTAATAGGGCAATATTAAAAACTGGGCAGTCTATGAACATGCTTCAAAACTACACAATTAGAAAAACATGTTCCAATGTTACCAAAGATGATTAGCGGTACGCTTTCGCAGCGAAAAGAATAAGATGTTGTTACAAATTTTCCGTGAGAAATTGAAGCTACAGAAGTATGCGATGGAGAGGAAATGGCTAGGCCTACTTGTCAATGTAAATCTGATGACGGGCGACTTCACAATTTAAAGGATCCCGCACAAAAAAAATGGCTCATATTTATGCCGTTCTGGGTTGCCGGGAGTCTTCAAATATGTATTTGACTAATTTCACAATCATAACCATCATTTAATATTTCCATACATAAATATGAAGACTCAAAGACAGTAGAACACCCTAAAACCCCACATTTTTGCAAAATATTGCAGTTTTTCGACCCGCATCTCCCCTTAAACAGTTGTCCTCATGCTACGTTGGGATTGGAACCAGGAAAACCTTTCTCTTGTTCCGGTTACGAGCTTTGGCCGTTACGGATTTCATAGTGCGGGCCATTCTGAATGAGACGTCGATTCACACCTGTAACAGCAATTAGCTTGCATCCGCACATGCCACAGAACGGCAAAAAACACCCCAAAACTGCTTTATGTTGAAATGGGCCGCCAAAAATTAGGAGGGTAACCCTGCAATGAAAAACCCCCTCGACAAAGGCAAAAAACAAAGTCCAGCCTACTCCCACTCACCGCGTAGATGTTCCCCAGGGTGAAGTGACAGATGGCGTTGTCGGGCGCGGTGTCGACGGCAGCATGAACCACGATGGCCGCCTCTTCGGACAGGTGCGATCGGTGCAGCACGTTCCCGAGGCTGATGAGGGCCACGTCTTTGTGCTCCCTGGGCAGCCCGTACAATCACAATCACAAAAGCGTTTCCAAGTGGTGTTCCTCCCGCACAATCACTTTAGAGCCAAACCATAGTGCCTGGAATGGCTTTCAACTGGTGTTTCGCCCGTATCTTAAAAGGTGGCCTCTTAATTTCTACTAGACGACATTGTAGCAGCGTCATGCCGTTGTCTGCTGTGATCCTGGCAGTGGGACGGCAGCAGAGGTGTATGTGACAGACGGCCGTTCCACTGCGGGTTGCCGTCCGACTTGACAGCCCACGGAAAGTTGAGCAGACGGGAGTAGGGACGGTGCGACGAAAGGTTGACACTCGTGTTCGCTTTTACGTTTTGTACAAACTACTTTAATTAACTGTCAGGATCGCGATGTCCGATAGCACGACACTCTAAATCCCGCAACGTCATCCGTTGCCAGCTTGGGACCACTTTCGATCTATGGGCGGTACGGGACGCCAAACGTGACGGTCAAAGACGCGTTCCAGGCACTGCGGCCGAAGTTGCATAATGGCGAGTGCGCTGTGACCCCCCACTGGAATGTGGTGTAACCAACCTGGGTGAGAAGTGGAGCGCCCTGCGCACGCACTCGATCGCGTTGGCCGGATCCCCCCGTTCCCGCCAGTAGTAAGCCGCCAGGTTGAAGATCACCCAGGAGGTGTTGTTCTGCAACCGAGCAACGTGCCTCGTTGGGTCCCCGGCATTTCAGTGTTCCCAAGCGTGTCCGCCGAAGGGAACCGCCATACAATTCTTTCACGCCGACTAACTGGCCGTCAGAAGAAGCACTTCGCATTCATAAATCATGGCACGGGATTCAAGCGTTGTTTGCGAGCAGCGCATTTTGCAAAAAGCGCATTTATGAGGCCCAGGTGGGCCGTAAACCTCGAAAGCGGCAAAACTTTCTAAACCATCGCCTTGACTACGACGTTCTATCAAATGCAATAAATGTGCGATAGCAACTAATGGGGTTTCTAACAAGCAGCACTTGTTACTGAAACAATATTCAATTCCTTAGTCGTGCATCTCTTCTTTGAAGGCATCGCATCATTCTGGCCATGAAAAGCCTTCACATCTACAAGATTATTCTGCAAATACGTGGTTTCTACCCTACAACAGCAGAGTATAAACTCATAGTCCCCAAACAGCGTACAAACTCATGACGACAAATGGTACAATTAGGCCAGGAGTGTGTGTGAAGTCGTGGTCCAACCCACAGCTATAAGCGGGGTCGGAATCGGGCTGTCTCTGTCGTTCATCAACCATGTCTTGCCACTGGCGGTACTGCAGCTACGGTGCCAGGTAAGGAAAAATGACGAGCACATACCTTGGCCATGGCCTTGTAGACCTCGTAGCCAAACTCTTCGGTCCCTTCGATGGCCGACACTGCCCGGTGCAAGCCGGCCTCTGGGCTCATGGTTAGGTTGTGGCGTTCACGAACACCCTGTTGAGGTGCAAGTTGGAAGGTGAGAAGGGGGCAAAAGAGTAATTTTCTGCTACTCCTACGGTGAAACTCTTTCGACTCAACCACTTGTCGTAGGTGGTTGCACTTGAAGAAGTGTCAGTGCTACATTGTTGTTCAGAAACCCTGTCCCACCCCAGGAAATGTCTGACTTGAAAGCTTTCATCGTACGTAGGAAGATCGTTCTGTGGTACTTCAAATTATTTTCTTCTTGAAAATAAGTATTTTTAAAAACACAACTTTTTTTTTTCTGCTTTAGCCTTTGGGTTTGAAGACATTAAAAGAGGGGGAAAGCAAAGATGGGATCAAAACAATGTACAGTTATTCACACTCAAGTGAAAAATGATTGGTTAGAGCAGACCTAAAAAGTAGTGTCAGTGGTGGATGCAATTGTTCCAGGAAGGTGGTTCCAGTCGAGGGATGTGTGCGGAAGGAAAGAAGAATGGAATGTAGATGTGATAGCGATAGGCACCTCAACTTTGTGCTGATGATCATGACGAGCAGAAATATAAAAGGGATGGGTGATTAATCTGCCGCGAAGTACAGAGTTACAAAAAATTTCGGTGGCTTAGCTCAGCTATGCCAGGATATACGTAGCATGAGCTTATGCGCACAAAATGAGAGGCGCTATCAAGCGGCTCCGGTGCAGCGTCAGACTTGGCTACTGCACAACGGAGGCGCACAGCTGGGCACACGGCGGCGCCAGTGCGTCTGCTGCAGCTATGACGTCACTCCTCTGGAATGCGCAGACCGGCGAGGTGCACTTTGCGGCGGCGGTGGCTCTGGCGCGCGAGCTGTGCGCCGTGTGACGTCGCTGCTCCTCGCGCATGCGCAGCACGGCTCTTTGGGAGCCACGCGAAACTGCTCAACCTCAGCCAGTGTAGCTTATGCTACAAAATAAATTTTGTGAAATAAAGAGAGGCATGAAAGCTTACGTCGCATAAAGAGAGGCACGAGTGACAAAGTTGATTTCATAGAAGTGACACTAGATGTATGATGATAATTAGAAAGAATAAAATGAGCGGATCTATTTTGAATGGCCTCCAACACGGTGAAGAGAGTGCCTTGTCCGGGATCCCAGACAGAGGCTGCATACTCTAACTTCAGTCGAACTAGAGTTCTATAAAAAGTTAGCTTGAAAGAAACAGGTGCTAATGAAAAGTTACGCCTGAGGCAGCTTAACATATGGTTAGCATTAGAGGCGATATGCTAAACACGTGTTTTTCATGAGAGGTTAGATATGTGCACCCAAATGTTTGTAAGAAGATACCATGTCCAGCTGAGCCTGATTAAGAAAGTAGTTGCGAGTTTCATGAGACTGGGAAGATACACGCATGAGCTTACCCTTGTTTGTATTAAGAGTCATAGACCATATTTCACACCACAGGTAGATAGCATTAATGTCAGACTGAAGCATGCTGTTATCTTAATCATTAAGTATCTCATGGTAAATTACACAGCCATCAGCAAACAAACAAATAAACGAGGAAACATCAAGAGGGAGGTTGTTAATATATATATAAAAAAAAAGGGTCCTAAAACATGTCCTTGGGTAACCCCAGAGGCTGCAGATGAAAAGGAGGAGTTACTATTATTTACTGTAACAAATTGTAACCATAATGATAGAAAAGATTGAATCCATGCAAGAACGTCAGCATCTATGTTAAGCTTGGACAGTTTCAGAAGTAATTTATGAGATACTTTAGCAGATGTAAGTTTAGAAATAGTTATATACGTAAGGACAGGGGACGGGACAACACATCTTTCAACTTTCGACAAACAAACGATTTATTGCCGGACGCTTCGCCTTCGGAACTCCACTATAGGAGAGGGAAAGTTAAAAGGAGGGGGGAAGCGGAAGGAGGGGGGCAAGACAAGGCCCCGGGAGAAAACTGGGGGAAAGTAAACCGCAGAGACAGCGGGAAGAAGAGGAAGGAAGGAGGCATCCCGATTTCCCTCTCAGGAGCAAGGACCACTCGCCCGGCCCGCCAAGGCCGTCAACTCCAGTCTCAGGAATGTCATCTCTCTCTGACAGCGACCATGAGGCCGAAAGAAATGTTCTTTGGCGCCTCTTTTAGGGCGTACGCCTCCACGATCTCGCGCCTGTAGCGGTTCTTGTTGGCCCCCAGAACACGCGCGGACGGGAACTCAGGGGCACATGGAGCGCAAACCTTGAGGTGAGACCATGGGGTGTTGAGAGTCCTCGTTTTTTGCTATTTCTCTTTTATGTTCGCGCAGGCAGTCGTTGAGGCAGCGGCCCGTCTGCCCGATGTACTCTGCCCCGCACGAGAAGGGCACGGAATACACCCGTCCGACCGCGCAGGGAACAAAGGGGGCCGCGTGCGTCTTGGCGCAGCCGATCTTGGGAGGAGGGGGAGAGTTTACCAGGAAGCACATTGCACTCAACTTGAAGGGCACGAAAACGCAACATCCATGTCGAAGCATCGAGCCACTGCTTTTAGTCGGTGGGCGGTACTGTGGAAATAGGGGATGGTTGTGTACCTCTGCCGGGCAGGCTTCCGTGCGGCGGCTTTTTCGATTATTAGTTTTCTGAGCGTGGAGGCCAGCAGGTCACGCGGGTATCCGGCGTTTGTGAGGCGGCTGAGCTGTCCCTCCAGGCCAGATGGGGAGAGGTGTTGTTGGCAGGACTTTGTGCGGGTGGAGGAGATGAGACTTTTTGCGATGCCCGCTTTTACTGTCTTTGAGTGGTGGCTTGAAAATGGCAGCACCGGCTTTTGCAAACGCTGCTGAAAGCACCAGCAAGTGCCTCCCTGGGTGGCTACGAGGCAAACATCCAGGAACTGGAGACCCTCCGCCGAGGGGTTCTCCCTGGTGGAGCTCAGGCCATTTGCATTGTCTGTGAAAGCCTTCTGGATGGTGGCGGTGGGCGCGCCGGAGTCGTGGAGCACCAGATAGTCGTCCACATATCTGTACACCTGGGCTCCTGCGGCAACGCTGTCCAGTTGCTCCTTCACGGCCTGATCCACGAAAGAAAGGTACACCTCGCTGAGCACAGGTGCTAGGCAGGACCCGATGCAGACACCCGAGATATACTCTGATTAATTGCAGGAACAGCTGAGGGGGATGCCGAAAGAATTTCGGAATTTGACTATGCCCTGTGTAGTGATGGCTTTTTCTACCGCATCCAGAAGAATGTTGAAGTCGAGGCTGTAGTACATGTCGGTGATGTCTAGAGAGAAGAAGGTGGTACCTGGGCCTGATGTGTGAAGAAGCTGGAGAGCTGGGAGGAGTTCCCGAGAGCTGCCTACGCAGAAAGGCTGGTCCAGGAGGACGGCTGCCAGCTGCTTCTGCAGGTAGAGAGCCAGAGGCTTCTGCCAGCATCCATTTTCTGATACGATGCTCCTAAGCGGGATCTCCGGCTTGTGGGTCTTGGCGGTGAAAAACACTTTTAGGTACTGGTTCGCAGGGGCCGACACTCTCGTGACAAGCGACGAAAGGTTGTTTGACCTGCAGATGTCTTTGACTTCCGAACGGAGGGTGCCGGACGGCCTTTTCCTTAACGAGGACGAAGTTTCTCTTGATGGCGAGTTCAACCTTCTCACCGAAATTAGACCCGTTCACGACCACAAACACTCCTGTTTTGTCTGCCTCCAAAAGCCTCAAATCAGATCCCTTGAGTTCATTCACCACTCGTGGAAATTCTGGTTTGGTTGGATGGGTTGCTCCATGCATGCACACCAAACGGGAACCAACACTGGGGAAATCTAGGAAAATGCAGTCTGCCTAGGATCATCGGTCTAGGATGCAGTAAAGGTCATGTGGGAATGATATAAGCTGAGCATCGCATGAAAATGTTTCTCGAAATCCATGTTGGGATGGGTGGAAGTTGTTAAATTCTAAGAAATTGATAACATGAGAAAATATGATATGCTCAAGGAGATTGCAAGGAAGAGTGGTTATAGAGATTGGGCAATAATTTAGAGTAAAATGTTTGTCACTAGTCTTGTTAATGGGAACCACTTTCCCCACCTTCCAATATAAAGGGAGCACAAAATCTCTAATGAACTGATCAAAGCTTCTAATATTAGTAAAAAGCACTAACACATCTGAAGCAGGATGATGACATACTCTTTCCCTCACTGCCTGCTATTCTGAATTCAATGCTCAGGGTGGGTCCCCAGCAGAAGGGAAACTCTGGGTCCCGGAAAACACAGCTGAAATGGAGGGACTGGTTTCGAGCATGTTATCATTAACAGGATCGTAAACATAAAATTTATTATCAATGTACATTCTATTGTGTCGAAGCTTAAAAGAGGCATTTTTGGCGTTCACAAATTCTATCAACTTTTTCCGTGCTTTAACTGAAAAATCCTCAATCACAGAAATGCGACAAGATTTAAACAATGATCTGGACAGTAGAATTTGGTCATTTAGCCTATACGATGCAAATTTAACGATAACTGGACGACATTAAATCGCGACAAAAAGTACCGATCTTATGGGCACGAATAATGGCTGTCTTTTGGAGCTAACTTCACACAAAGTATACCATTGTGGGAAGCAACTTGTTTCCATAAAACATATTTCTTCCTGTTCCACAAACACCACAGAAAACCGATAGCGGAGCGGAACTTTAGTGCTTTTTGCATTTTTTTTGCAGAGAGAGTTTCCGCCACACTAGTAATTTCATCTGGCTTTTCGTTCAATTCTGTGATAAAGCTTAGTTACCACAAATTGTGTCATACTCTGTACAAATGTAATGCAATTCATAATTGCATTACATTTGTACGGAGCAATATTCCAAGTTTAAGCTTCACATGTTTATTAGTTTATAAACACATAAAAGTTTCAAACAGCAGAGCTACAGCTAGAGATTATCCACTTAACACCATTCTTGACTCACTAGGTGCTTTAGGAGCTATAAGTTCGCAAAAGCATGGGATCCCATGTAACTTCTTCAGTCTTGAACCCGCTAGCTTTGGATGGTAAGTAGTCCCTTCAATAACTGCAGCCCCCCCCCCCCCCCCCCCCGCCCACCAAAGTTTATGTTTGTGTTTAGACAGTGTAAGGTTGGCATGTCTCACACAGGTGCTACAATGCTCGTCTAGATTAAAAGAAGCAGGGGTGTGGACTGAGCTCAGGACCCCTGGGTTCTGCAGCACGAGCTTTCGTTCAACGTGCTTCGGGCTGCAGAGTGCTAGCGCACTCGGCCACCGATCCCGCCGTTGCCACAGCAACATACCGTGAGGTGCTCGAAGGAGTGCATGCTGAAGTCCAAGTCTAGGACCCTCGAGCAGTCCGGTTCAGGAAGCTCCGCCCGCGCCGTCCGAAGGTCTGCCTTGTCCCAGTGGCTGCGTGCGAGCACAAACCGGAAGCTCGCTCACAAAACGTGTCGTGGCTCCTACTCTGACGGAGCGGACAGAGTCTGAACGCGCCAAATTACTTCTGCATCACCGGTGATCGAAAGCGCGCTACAAGACAGTGGCACTGCAGTACGGCTCCTAGCAGATGTGTTTCAAGTAGACGTCAAGCGTAACTGCCGACCTCAGTTTCTGATCGATATTGGCTCGCCCGAGCACGGTGCTACACAAAATGCCCAAGACCGGAGTCGGCCCCAATTATTTTTACGCAAGACCCGGAAGTTGAGAACACATCCCCTCCATGCACCAGTGGATCTGAGCCAGCGAGCGAAGATTGACCTGGTAATAATAGGAGCGAAGAATACTTTTCAAGTAGATTTTATCGCTTACTGGCGTCGGTGAATGTCGTCCCGTAGCGATTTTCTGGACCATCAAACAATCACACGCTTCGTAGAGGAATGCACTAGCGCAGATAAACAAAAAGCATAGCGGTATGTTGCAGTCGTTACCGCTCATAATTGCAAGAGACACCATTGAATTCGAGCTCCGAGAAATTCCTGTGGGTCGAACGACGTAAGAACACGTACAGAGCAACGTTGGACATGAATATGTTTTCGAACATGAAGGTGTCAAGCCTTCCCTCCAGACCAAGATCGAGAATTGTGGCCGCCAGAAGGCGCGGACGAGGCCAAGACGCTGCGGGTTAAGGCCAGAGTGGAACCACACCATGCCCGAGCGGGCAAACGCATCACGGTGTCGTTTGTGCAGCAGCCAAGAAAGATCAGTGCACCCCTTTTTAGGCATCAGACGCTCCCGGTTACTTACAAGTACGAAGTGCCCCCGAAAAAAATGTACAGATTCTGTCTAGCCTCAAACGTGAGCTATGCATTGCCAAGCGCTCACTCAGTCTTTGCCCAGATGTAGTACTAGCAGTTTGAACCATATGCCAAAGTTTCGGGTGTTTGCAGTCATCTAATTTAAAAGTTATGAGCAATTTTCGAAAATTTTCAATGGGAAATGGACAGCCAAAGAAGTCCACAAATATGTGAAGATGAATTGCGTCGGTTATCTGGAACAGACCTTATTTTCCCATCAAAAGTCTAAGAAAATCGCTCATAACTTTTGAATTAGGTGATGGCAAGCTCTGAAACTTTGGCATATGGTCCAGACCACCAGCTCTACGTGTGGACGGAGACTGGGCATTCGGCAATGCATAGTTTATCCTTGAGGTGAAAAAAAGAACTCCTTACATTTTTCTTTTTGGTGTTGTTTTGAGGGGACACTTCATACTTCTCAGATTGCTTTAGATTATTTTTAAAAAAAACTTTGCTTGGCAGATTATTAAGACTGTGACTGGTTGCGCTACGACCGCTTGCGGCAGTTTACAACAAAAGAACGCTGGCATGGTGGCACCATCTATCATTAGCCCTGTGTCCCTTGCGACCTGAACATATAGTAAAATACTGCGGAATCGCCCACTTCAATCAAGTGCCCAGAATTAACATTTCCCGAACAAGGGAATTCTGCAAATTACAGGTTAAGTGCCCGACTTAATTGGCCAAGCACCCATGTCTACATCAACCCCATTTTCAATGAAAGAGGCGTGGGCGCTCCCCCGGTACTTCATGATAACAAGACCGAAGGTTGAGCAGTGTTTGCGAGATCACATCTACACACTTTATATAAGAAATGGTCTCTTAACACTGCCAGAATTATGTAAAGCCCAGGGTGAATGACTGCTACAAAAAAACCTAGGCAAGTCCAAGGTGTTCCAAGGCTAGTTCCAGGACTAGCCATTAGATGGTGCCAGTGTCTTATCTCGTCGTAAGTCATCACAAGCGGTCATAGCGTAGTCAATCACGGTCAAACAAACAGCCTCTAGTTTCTCCCGTGCCACTAAACCTGCAATCATCATCATCATCATCGCACCTCTGTATCTTGTGGTCGAACGGGACGACCGTGCTGACGTAGAGGTCAAAGTCGGTGAGCGGCTGTGCGGCAAGGATGCAGTCCTTGTCGGTGGAGTAGAGCCGCTGCTCTACGTCAGAGGCCTGGTCCTCGCACCGGTCAATCTCCTGCTTCCGCCGAAGCAGCTGCTGCTTGAACTCCTCCACCTGGACTGCACGCTCCTCTTGCGCCAGCAGTGCCAGCAGGTCGTACGGACGCCGCAACGAAAACACACTGTCCATCTGAAAGACGGCGGGAAGTTCCGACCGGTTCAAACGGGGCCGTTGAGTCTGCATTTTTGTAGGGCAACAGTTGGAACCATCAGTTTTGTAAAGATGGCGTCGTCGGCGAGGTTTCACAGCAGATCCTGGGAGGTGTTTGTGTGTCCATTATGGCCTGCTAAATTTAGCCGAAGAATGTTTTTTTTTTATAAATTGTTGTGTAGAATCAGCGTCACATGACACTGTGATGTCACAGTCCGCTAGATTTGGACATGACAGTGTAACTGTGTGCAAACGAGTATGCACCAGATTGGTCAATGCAGTGCATCTGCAGGACACAACAAGGAACCGCCAATGTCTGTGGGGCGGTTAGCAGATTAAGAACTCCCGACCAAGACCAGCTGTGGTGCATGCCTGGACAAGGACCAGGGTTCTGTGTTTTAGGGTTGAGACCCTCCTTTAATGCCAAAGTAAGAGATGACGAAAAAAAGGGCAAGAATGATACTTTCTTCCTTAAAAGATATAATCGGGTCACTGTGCAAGGAGTGTACCCCTCTCCTGTTACGACAGACACCGGTTCGGTGAGACCGGAATGGAGCCATGGAGCCATCGAGCCTTCGCATAACCAGTTCCAAGCTCCACCTGTGGCAGTGCTACACATCGCAGTGTGTACAACACTTGCCCAGGCCACGGGAACGTGCCAGAACTCTAAACTAGCGTGATGTCAATATGCACGCATGTTTTCTAGGTCCCGCCCACAGACCGATCGCAGGCTCTACTCAAGAATCTTGCGATTACTACCAATCTTCCACCCATTTCTTCTGTCTGAGCACGATAGGTGTTGTCTCCCGGTGTTTACAGAACTTAGACCACAACCCGAACCTTTCATCGCGCTAGGAACATTTTCCGGTAGGGCTGAAAGCATGCCAATCGATGCTTGCTAGCAATGTGAATGTGGGTCACTTACCCAGATATTTAACCCGAATAATCATAAATTGGCTACAAATAAGTCGTAACCATGACGCTTAAAAGGCGACCGAGTTGACGTTTTCAACAGCCCGTGTAAATAATTTATCTGCATAACCTCTGTTGCGCTTGCATAAGCACACACGCCCCTTTATTTCGGTTGTAAACAACAACAAAAAATAAAAACACAACTGGGGCAACAATAGAAATAAATCGATATTTCACATCCACCGTGACCTTCCCAGCCCACGCCTGCAGTGCGCAGATTATAGGTCTAATTGCACTGATACTGCGCCAGAGAAATGCATCCCTACCTGCGGCTGTATTTTGCCCTTATCCGTGACCACCCAGTGCGTGGAACATTCGGAGTAATGTATCAGGTGGAGAATCGAGACGTAGAAGCAGATGCTGAAAGCGGGCAGCCGCTCGCTCAAGACCGCCATCGTATTTTGGATATGTTGCGAACTTTTGTCGAAATCGAAAAAGTTCGCTTATTGAGCGTACTTGCCAGACGGAGTAGAACATTGTACAGATTTAGAGAAAATATTTAATAAAACTACAACACTTTTATCAGTCATTTTGTTTTAATTGATAATAAAACAATATTTATATATATATACATTTTTTTCTAATTATGGCTGTTTCAGTTGGGCTTCTGGTCCTTTTCGTGGAGGAAGACTCGGGAGGATGAGAGAAACCCCGCTTGTTCGCTGCAGCGCGAGTGAAGCCACAGGACGGCCATCTTGCTCGCAGTCGATTTGCGGTTTTGCTAGCATTGCAGAGGCTGGCGGCAGCGTGCTTTAAAACACGTTTTCTACCCTTTCGTCGTCATCCGCCGAAGAAGTGTTTCTAAAACCCTGTGTAACCGTTGAGACTTGCCATTGTGAACAAGTAGGAAATTTTACAAAAACGGAGTTCCGCAGGAAAAAGGCACAACTCGTCGAAAGCAAGTTTCGCCAGTTTCGCTGCAGGATCAAAGCTTTTGTGGCACGCCGAAAAATAGGCGTAGACTACGGGGGGGGGGGGGGGGGGGGCATCGGGGCTCGTGTCCCCCCTTGTAAAATCTGGGGGGGGCAGCCCCCCCCCCCACCCCCCCCCAGGCCTGGCCATGATCCTCACCGAGACGCTGTTTACGTGCCATGTAACGAGTTCCAAGTAGTGGCATGTGAACAAAATAATGTCAACGTCGCCTTTATTGACAAAATACATGAAAAATGGAATTCCAGCGTGCTTTCGGGGGGAGGAGGGGGGGTGCTTTTCCATGCAAGCGGAAAAGCACCACACCCCCCCGGAGAACTTCTCAGCCTGCCCTGCCCCCCCAACCCCAGGACGATGGAAAGTCTACGCCGCTGCGCCGAAGTGCTGCATCTCTGTGCCTTCGCACGCTCGGATACCGATCAAGAATCGACGCCGTGTGGATGTGTTTTGCAAGTGCAATGTGCTGGATAGCCATATGTACCCCTGGAGCAGCGTTTTACTTTTACTCCGACTACTGTATTTGTAACTTGCGGCACTCGCAGTCGAGAAACAAGCTTGATCCAGTGTCCAGTGGCAACGGAAGAGAGGGGAAGGGGGCGGCATCAGCGGTGTTTTTTTTTTTGTTTTGTTTACTAGACGCTTATGGTAATCAAATTAGTACAAAATCTTACAGACGCAGTACTTCGGCATGCCAAGGAAGCTTTAATCACGTCGCGAGACTGGCGAAACTTGCTTTCGACGAGTTGTGGCTTTTTCCTGCTGCACTGCGCTTTCGTAAAAATTTCCACGTGTTCTCAACAGCAAGTCTCAACCTTACACAAAGTCTTAAAAATCTTCTTCGACGAATGAGTAGAAAACATGTCTTCAGCACGCTGCCGCCAGCCTCTGTAACGCTAGCAAAACCGAAAATTGTCTGCGAGCAAGTGGCTGTCTGGTGGCTTCACTCACGGGAGCGGGAAGCGCGATCCAGCAATTGTCATTGAGATCAGTGAGAGAAACCTTCTCTCTCTAAAGTTCCTAGTCCTCTCCCTTTCTTCCCTTGCCCTCCATTGCCATCCTCTCCTGTCCCACTGTCCTAGCTCTCGCCCTTTCTCTCTTTGACTGCACTGCACACATACACTTTTACACAAGAATATACGGCTTGGAGGTGACGTCATTCAGAGCGCTCCAATGACCACCAGTGAAGAGGGGAAGGAGGAGCTCCCTTCTTACCAGGATCCTCTTTCGTGCCTCCCAGATTTGCACACGTGGCCATTCTTCTTTCAGAAGATTATAGAAGATTAACCCGTCACTCAAAATTCTTACAAAAGCAGCTTCCCTCTCCTCCTCTTACATGGTGGTGTATGGTTTTGGTTTGTTTCATCGAGTCCGCATTTCGTTTGCGTGTTGCTGTTTTACGCTGCACTAGTATGTTCATTCGGCGAAAATATTGCCTTTGCTACATAGAAAATAGATTATGTGCAGGCTTCTTTCTTGACCAAAAACGAATGAATGTGTATTTCGTGCGAACAAAATGCCGGAAAGGCAATGCACAGTTGGCACTTACCCATGGCAGCGTGGGTCTGAGAATACATATTATCTGCAAGCAAAGTAAACTCAATCCCATACAGTATAGCATAGTTTCACGGTAATTGTCCGAAATGTTTTCACAAACACACACACGAAAAAAATTAAAATCGAGTGTGTTGGTAAGGTGAAATTGCCCACAAAAGAATAAGTAAAGTGGGACGGAGCACAGAACTCATCTTTCAACTAGCAACGAGCAAGAATGGAACAGAACTGCACCCCAAAGGCGTCAACAAATCTTCGAAGAAAAAAAAGCAGCAGGATCATTCACTAAAATGTTGTTAACACGTTTGAAGAAACAACTACCATAAATTCAAAAATGTGAAAGAGTTAGACAAAGAGGACGGACAGGACAAACATCTTTTGCCATCCTCTTTGTCTAACTCTTTCGTGTTTATGAATCTATTACCAACGCGCTCAATCCAAGTATACACTAAAACATCGTTTTAGGAAATGGTGTTTTAGTTTATTTATTTCAACGGCAAAATTGAACCAAAAAATGAGCAGAATCGACACTTTAATCATTTCAGCAAACCAAATTACAATTAAAAAACCAAGGTGAAACTCTAAATGAACAAGCAAGTAACGAGGCCTCAAATAGTTAGGGCCATACGAGACAACAAGCATGCACTAATAACAGTAATAACCTGTCACAGCACAAGGCATGACCAAGCTTTTTTTGTTTTTTTAGAGTGGTACAAGCCCATAAAAATAAATGACAACACAGAACATGGTTTTGTAGCTTCCTCTTTATTTACATTGTGCCAGTTACAAGGAAGACTTTGGTTTCTATTACGGTATCTCTTTATTTATCCAATGAAAATGCAGGACAAAAAAATGCACCATACGTAAAATTAATATGTGGTATTGATCATCGGAGCATGCAATAGCCCTCCGCAATACACCAGCACAAGTCTCTGGAAAAGAGGCTGTCACTGGACGTTTTATTGTTTACTGGTTTCTGCACAACTGTGACCTGAAACAGCATAAGTGAAACAAACCAGAACATGACTGGTGCCGACTGTAACAGCATGACTGGTGCCGACTGTAATTGTAACAGCCAAGGCGCTAGTCTTGCCAGGTTGCAGAAAACGACGATGTCATCAAATCTTGCAAGACGTAAAGTTGTGTTTAATTAAAGGACTGCCCAGTGACCACAGGAACAATGCAAACATAATCCAATCGCACATCTCAACGTGCACATTTGGCAATATAAAGGTGAAATTATTGGAATATTACTATCATATTTCTGGTTACCCATTTACCATAGAATACTGTGCATCCGCCCATACCACATTAAGCACCCATACCCAAATTTGTAAAATCTGAGAAAATATGCACAGTACATTGATATGTAGAATTGATGACCGGACAAGCGCCCATCCCCCATTCTTTTATGATTTTTTGAGTGGGCGCTTGACCTGTATTTTACGGTAAGTAGAGTCCCCAAGCTGTACTTGGCATGTTATGAAGTCATGCTCGAATATATTACGCTGACATTCGTGTTAACTTTCTTTCTGTCCTCAATTCTTTGGAAAAGAAACTGCACCAAAATAGGGCTCCCAGAGAGCGCTTTATAAAAAGATGTGCTGTGGCCAGGAGTTGCACGACAGCAGCTTGTGAGTAGGCTGTTGTCAAAGGTGGGCAGTATTTCAAATACAAGTATTTGAAATACGTATTTCAAATACTTTGTGTATTTTGCATTCATATTTAATTACAAATTGGGTAATGTATTTGACGTGTGTATTTAAATACTAAAACGTGGGTATTTCAAATACAATTGTAATTAAATACAATTTTGTGGGCGAAAATACATCCCTAAAATTTATTGTCACTGTCCAGAGCAGGAAGAAAACCACGTTCTGCACTGAATGCAGTGTCTCTCAATCAAGCACAAGCGTTTAGTGACTTTGTGATTACGGTGCTAGTCAAGGGCAAGAATAGTGACAAAATCGATGTTCATAGGCAGACTGGCTAAATAAGTGCCTGTGACAACTTGTTATGCTTTCCAGCCTGATTTCCATTCATATTTTTGCCTGGAGCATTCTAAATGCGCGGGTCGTCCAGATTTTCGTAACTGGTGCGAGTTGCAACAATAAAAAATTCTCTAGCTAGTGCTGCTCGTCTTGGTCGCCTCGGTCCTTTGTTGGTCTATACCAAAATTTAATTGACAAAAAAAAAGGCTGCTTCAAGCTCTGTACTTTTTTTACCTATTACGTCCAAGCTGATTACATTTTTTGTGATTATATTTCTATTACTTTACTAAAGCCTCGCACACTAACTCCCAAGTGTGCGATGCAAAATTAAAATGAGATACCCAGAAACGCGTTGCAGGTGCCCTGAAGTCGCTGACGCAAATTTTGAGGAATGTATTTGGAAAAGTATTTGAAGGAGACCAAATACATTTGGTTGTATTTGTATCTTGTATTTAAATGCTTTTTTTGGAAATGTAATTAGATTTGTAATTAAATACATTTTTGACGAAGTATTTTGTATTTGTATTTCGATCCATGTTTGCATGTATTTTGCCCATCCCTGGCTGTTGTGTACTGTTCCCAAAAGAAAAATGGTTTGCTGAAGCACGGCTGCTGCTCAAAATAGGAAGGTCGGACTATTGGCATGCATCGCATGCTTTGTTGGTGACAGCAAAAAGAAAAATTTCAGCCTTTTCACTCTGGTGAAGAAGGGAGACCAGCAAAGCTGTACTATGCTGGGAATGAAGTAATGGCTGGCTGCAAGTCGGAAAGCCAGAGTGGAAAGGCTGGAAAGGTTACCACCATCTGCGAGCAATGGCGGCAACCAGACAACTGGCAAGTCAGCTGTCTGGTTGCCGCCGTCGCTCATAGATGGCGGTAGCTGTCCGAAGTTTTGTGTCATCATTTGTTTGCTGACGGACACAATACTGGGGAAACTAGCCCTTAACAGCTCCACAGTAAAATACTCAA